CTTCGCCTCCCCCCTGTGGGTTGAACCACCATCTTGACTATCGCGGATAGCATATGTTCACGAACGCCGACTGGGAGCAAAATTAGCGTTGATTGAGATCTAGTCTTGATTTCAACCACGAAGGTTATAAACAGTTCGGGGTCGTGAATCTGCGTCTTCAGATTTTAGGGTCATGTTCTTGAATGTCTTCTACAGCAGTAAAACCAGCCCGGTGATAACGAACATCTCTGTCTGACTAAGGGTTTCAAAGAGAATAATGTTCAAGTCCTTTCAGTCGACTCGATTTCTCACTTTCGTCATAGAATAAGGTGACTTGAAATACTTCCTGTTGGATGTTTGATCAGCTGATCATATATTCCAAATTAACCCTATCAATTGAACCAATTCTAGTGCGGAAATCTATAAATTAGAACCCCGAAAAAGCTGTTCGGTAGGGAATAATGCAGTCTAAAAAAGGAAAGACGTATTTTGATAAATAACCAGTAAGTATGAAATTAAATTTTTTTGTTACCAAAAGACTTGGCATGGAAACCTTAATAAAAACAATATTTAATTTCCACTGAAAGAGGAGTAGATCCGTTTATTCCATTTTTAGGCTATCATAAAATTATTGACCGGTGCATGGGATACTGAATCACCGTTCATAAAGCACTTCTTCTTTCTCAATAGAAATCGTCATCAGTGCCAATCCATGTGATGTGATGAACCGAGAATCAATGCTCATCGACAGGAAACTGAACGCATCTTGTCTTGTCTAGATGTAGTGTATGCGTTGGTGACGGTTACTTACAAGTACCGTGAAGCGTGTGTATAGTAATTTTTGTGGTATGCTTAACAGGTAAAAGGTTTACGATGAATTCATTTCCTCGTAATCATTGATGGGAATGTCACTAGGCTGCGGAATATGTACAGCCTCTGAGCGCTTCAATTTGAGAAAGAGTAAGTTTGTGCGCATAGAATCTACTGTCCTGCGTATTGAAACGTTTCCGTCGAAGACCACGGCTTCGATTTCAACAGATATGGATGTTCACGAAAACCACAGACTTGTTTCATTTTGAGGCATCTAGAATGAGCCATATTTTCTACATATTTCCTCTTTCAATCTGAAAGTACTGGGTGGAATTTGGAGGACATCAAGTTAACTAACGGTTTATGCGCGTTTTAGACATCACGTATGCTATACAGATCCATGCACCGTGTTGGGATGGTTGACTTAAATGTTTCACAGAATCAATTATTTTAACATCGGTGAAGTAGTTTCTGCACCTGGATAGGAAAAGAACAACCCTGGGGAGAGAACACGAGACTGTCAAAGCAGCCGTGAGCCGAACCTTTGTTGTTCTTCTGTGACCACTGTCCATTCCAATCCGACACAGGCGTGCTTCGAACAAGAAACATGAGCTCGTACCACTCCACCGCCCACTGTCTTGATCCGTGCAGTATTCGACGTGCTCAACACAAAGAAGCGTGCTTATAGAATTCACAAAGTGAGGGCAATCAAAAGGGAGACACGAACTAAATGCGATTTTGTTTGAACAAACCATTTTGTTTCGAGACAAAGTTAGGGTTTTCTGTGAGAAACAGAAAAATGGCGGAAAAACAACACTTGAAGGCTATTAGCTAAATGTTCACATGAACAAATTCGAAGTGGACGTGCCACTGCAATGCGTTCATCCGTTCGGCAGTATTCTCTCATAGAGAAACAACACAGGCATCATGTGGAACATTGTTTTGAAGTAAAGCTGTGTTTCTCGATTGAAATGTGAGAAACCTTTAGATTTAGGTATTTAGAGGTGACAAAACATTTGCTTACTTTCCGTTGCAATGAACAACACTTATCCATGAGAAATTTGTTCGCAAATTTTTGAAGTTCAGTGATCCCGGAATTGGATTCAACAAATGCTAATCCATTTGAATTGATGTAGCAAAATCGGACTGCCTAAAAGTGTAATTATCATTATCATTTTATTCTGAATTGGCTTTTTTATACGGTATTTCGTGTAGTCCATAATGTCGATCAAATTCTGCCCTGAAATTAGCGGGTGCAGTGAACGGTGTTGCCATTCACTGGGATGCGAAATACTTATTTCCAACGAAATTTAATCCTACAGTTCGCCGATATCTTCCTATCCAATGAAAATTTCAATTATAAGCGCTTTATTAAAAATCCACTTCAATGAATCGGTAATGTTATTTTCCTCAGGTACATTTATTTTTTTGTGTACTTGATTTCAGCATGTTGGCAGGGGAAATCAAATTAGGTTTTGAGAATTAGGTAATATCGAGAACCACACCTTAGTTCATCTTTATTCGAGTATACAAATTGTGTTGAAAAATTCGTCAAATCGCTTGGGTTGTCTCGTGTTTTCCCGCAATCACTATCGAGAGTAATTCGACACCGTTTCTTTCTTTCATTGTTCTACCTCCATAATTAATCGTCCACACTGCATATTACCCCATCTTTAACTTGAGATTGATGGGTCCTCAGTTTATGGTATATTTAACTAAAATAACAATTGATCTTATCCTTCTGGATAGTAATGTCCATGGGGAAATTCGGCGAGGCCTTGTGAACAACAATGGGAAGGAGGTACTAGGGCCAACGAAATAGTGTATAGTGTTTTCTACAGCTTCCCCTTGAATGGCTGCTAGATTCAGTAACTGTTCTCGTATTCGATTATGCAAGTAATTTCAAATTTGAAATCTAGTATTGAAAACCTAGATGTCTAGTCAGGATTTCATTTCCACTGTGCGTTCAAGTATTCCAGACTTTCAGGGTTGAAACTCACCAAATTTGTTGACATGCATAGCAATGACAGTTGGCCATTGGTCATTGGACTTGTCGGAACTATTCACCAGCTATCCATGTATGCAAAAGGCTTTGCAAGTACTGCTTGATTCCGGAATTATATTGCTATTTTTCTCATCATTAATGTATGTGATCCGAATTCCGATTAGTATGTTCTGAGTTCAAAGAGCTTTTCTACCGTTGGTTTCATTGTAAATTATTTATTATATAGGACAATGTCAATCAATCAATTATCCAGTACTGTCTCAAATCTGTATCCTCAGCAAAATCAGTACCTTCCCCTTCCATAGCAGCCAAAAGGGATGATGATTCAATTATTCATTGAGATACCCATTGCTTTTTAGCTTGACGAGAAAGAAAAAAACCAGTCGTCTGTGGCTAAGTTTCAGTTGCATTTCAAATTGTAGAAATGCGCATATCCATTCCGAGGCTGTATTCATCATGTTTGAGTCAGATACGCACTCTTCTATAAGCTGAATGTTAGACAGAAGCGCACAGCTAGCATTCGACTGCGCATCCACCCAGTTGAACAAATTGGTCTTGATTCGGTGAAACTCCATGTACAGAGAGAGAGAGAGAGAGGACAAATTGCCCAATACCCAATCCCGAACCTATTCACTTTTGTATGCTTGCGGTGGACCAGAAAAGGGATTTTGCGAGATATACTGTCTTTCTCTCGATTTCGTGTCTCCCGATAACTCAATTCATTCTGACTGTGACAGATTTCTTTGAAATAGAAGCACAAAATCAATCGGCGAGCGTGAAGATGCTGTTTGTGGATTAATACTGAGCA